GGTGATAGATGGAATTCTGGCCCCTCAGCTAGTTCTATATGGGCTATGCCATTCTGGGTAAAGCATTTGTTAAAGGAAGGGCCCACAGTTTTGCCTTAGAGGCTTAGTTTGTTGGATGCTCCAGCATTCCTGGCTGAAAGTTCCTCTCTGATTTATTTCAGGCAAGCCCAACTCAAGATCCATCCCTCTGGAATGGGAAGATACGTATGGAAATGCCCTGCTCTCTGGAGTGAGGTATAAGAAGGGTGGCCTTGTGATCAATGATACTGGACTGTACTTTGTGTATTCCAAAGTGTACTTCCGAGGTCAGTCCTGCAACAACCAGCCCCTGAACCACAAGGTCTTCATGAGGAACTCTAAGTACCCCCAGGATCTGGTGCTGATGGAGGAGAAGATCATGAATTACTGCACTACTGGGCAGATGTGGGCCCACAGCAGCTACCTAGGGGCAGTGTTCAATCTTACCAGTGCTGACCATTTATATGTCAATGTATCTGAGCTCTCTCTGGTCAATTTTGAGGAATCTAAAACATTTTTTGGCTTATATAAGCTCTAAGAAAAGTCCTTTGGGATTCTCTCCGTTATGGTTTCTTGTTACAGACACTGAGAATGTTGTCTTGAATGAGGGTCTTCTTAAGCCTACTTGGGTCAAGTGAGGAGACATGAACCAAGAGGACCTTGAGACCACAGGGTCCAGCAGGTCTGAAGTTCCTCATGTCACCTAAGGTCCATGAGCCGGACAAGAGGAGGAATGTGACTGAAGAACATAAAACTCTGGGCTGCCATGTGAGGACGAGAGGATGAAGAGCAGCTGCCAGGTGTTCTGCACTCATCTTCAGTGACCAAGGGTGTGTTAGCACGTTGGAAAGGACACCTTCTAACTCACCTCTCCGGGTGGGTCGACTCGCTACCTCAGGGGAGGCTGTCTTTCAGATACATGGTTGTGACATGAGTCTGTAAGGGATAGAAAAGAAGGACTAGAAGGCTTGCACAATAAGCTAAAGAGACTGAAAGATGCCAGTACCCCATGGGCAACCTCTTTGCTTCTGAATGCATAGCCTGACCCACCAGGTGATGCTAGCAGAGAAGCGAGAGGGATCTTATGGGGACTCAGTCCATTCCCTACACAGCATGTGTATTCCCAGTGCAATTGTACGTGTGTGTGTGTGTGTGTGTGTGTGTGTGTGATGGAAGAGTCACATAAGTAGAGAGAATGTGAAGATCATGAAGTACATATCAAAAAAGTATGCGTTGTGTTTGGTGATAGAGTTTGAATGATTCTTGGCAATCAACTCTAATAGTCCTCCAAAATCTTTGATTGTCAGCTACTGATGGTATTTTCCTATAAAAAAACCAATATTTATATACATTTTTTGCATTTATAGTACAAAGGATATGTGTAATAAAAACTATATTTTAGAATAC